GAAAGTGTATAGGCAGCAGGAATTTGAGTCAGGTCTCGGTTTTCTTGATGATGTCACTCCTTTCTCAGCTACACGAGAACCATGAGGAATGATCGCTGAAGGTCCTCCATAGGATGAAAGAATTTACTTTAAAGCTGTCGCCAGAGAAATGTCAGTTCTTCAGGACATCTGTCCAATATCTCAGCCATGTTGTATCATCAGAAGGGCTCAAAAACAGATCCAGCTGCCCTCACTACCTGGCCAAGACCAGATAACATCAAGTAGCTTAAGTCTTTCCTTGGGTTCACTGGATATTACAGGAGGTTTATAAAAGACTATTCCAAGCTTGCAATACCCCTTAATCACTTAAGTGCTGGTTGCCTCCCACTGAAGAGAAAATCCAGTCTGTCTGGCAGAAACCACAAGGTTTCTACCAGTGCGGATCTCAAAAAGCCTTTTTCACGAAAAATGGACCCAACCGCTGAAGATACTTTTAAGACATTGATTCTCAAGCTCACAACAGCTCCTGTTCTTGGGTTTGCAGATCCAAAGAACATTATATTGTGCACACCGATGCAAGCGCCATGTTCTCGGTGCAGCCCTATATCAAGAACAGGAGAGCAAGTTAAGAGTCATTGCCTGTGCCAGTAGGGTCTCTCCAAGTCCGAGCAAAGGTACCCTGCACACAAGCTTGACTTCCTGTCTGTGAAGTGGGCTGTCACCCAGAACGTTTTCCGCTGTATCTATGGAGTAAAATGTACAGTGATGACAGACAATAATCCACTCACATACGTTTTAACATCTGCAAAGTTGGACGCAGTAGGGCATTGCTGGTTGGCCGTACTTCCAGTTTTGATTTTGACATTGAGTATAGTGCTGGGAAGGACAACCAAGATGCAGATGGGCTGTTGAGACGTCCGTATCTGCATGCCTGTGATATATCTGATCAGAGTTCTAATGATGAGGAAAATGCCATTGAAGGCTTTACTGCACAGCTCTTGCGCCGCAACAAAGAGCCAGATTTTCCAACGAGGCAGTAAAGGCAGTATGCAAGAGACATGAGTATTCCTCAACTCTTGAGGAGGAGGCAGCAGTACCATCGTCTGCACGAGTACAATGTTTGCTATTGGAGCCTCTGCAATACAGCAGATTTCTGTCAAACTGATGTAGCTGGGCCATGCCCCCTGCTGCAGATGTCTCTTTCCGATTGGCTACGTGAACAGAAATTAGATCTGGAGACTGAGAGAGTCTTGCAGAAAGCTACCAGTTAGCCATTGAGCACATTCAAAAGAGTGCTTTACGAAACAAACAAAGCTTTGACAGTAAAGTGCGGGAATCCACCTTGCCAAGGGAAATAGAGTTGTTTTGAGGACTTGTTCAGACTCACCTGTTGAATCAGTCTCAAAAGCTTCTCCTTCACCTTAATTTTCCACCGAGGTCATTGAAGAAGTGAGGAACAGGAAGTTACTTGTTGGACTATTTGACCATACCTACATTGATAGTGCACAAAAGTTAAAAAAGTGAACTCGTCTCCTTCTGCAGTACCAGGTAATACAGTATTACCGGATTGCCTGCCAGCAGGAGCGCTGTGGCTTAGCTGGTCAAAGTGCCTGTCTAGTAAACAGGAGATCCTGGTTCAAATCCCAGCAGTGCCTTCCTGTTACTATTTGAAACATCTTCTTCACAGTGTTAATTGCATTCTTAATCTTGGAGTTGGGAAATCTTTCAAAGTCTTTGTATGTCCTCAGTTATCCACTCACGGTACTCTTGAGAGCTTTAAAAACTTCTTTGCACCCGATCGAGAACTTCTTCAGTTCTAGAACAAATGCTGGAGGGTCCCAGGCATTAAAACCGCTAGTGAGCTTCTGAGGTTGTTCACCAATATTGATGTCTTGGCATGTCTAAATCTTCATTGTGTCCTCTTCTTGGAAACGAAGGAGACAAAGCATAACGCCCAATGCTTCCCGCCATCAGCACTCATTAATGAAATGTAATGGCATTGTAGGGAGGTAAGGCACTGCTGGGATTTGAACCCAGGATCTCCTGTTTACGACAGGTGCTTTGGCAGCTAAGCCACAGCCTTGAGCTGTGTGCCTCTGGCTACTGTCAACAGCTGGTGGGAAAAATGTGACAAACCGATTCAAAACTGTGTCTGCAGAGGTTACTTGGTTTTTTCCCTCCTGAAGGAGGCACTGTAGCTTAGCCGTCAAAGCACTGTCTTGTAAACAGGAGATCCTGGTTCAAATCCCAGCAGTGCTGTTGAGCTATTTCAAATAAGAAATTCTGTGTAGGCAACTTTTCTCAATGTCAAAATAAAAGGAAGTAATCTGTTGAATCTGAAGTTTGGAGGCACTAAAGATTTAGCAAAGGACACCCCAGCAGCTGTGCACCACATGCAGATGAAAAACATCAAAACTGAAAGTCTACTAAAACATGAAACTGCGCAACTGTGACAACAGACATAAATGGACCAGTATAGAAACTGGGTGAGGCAGGGTTATATTGAGCTTTCGTCCCAAAAGTACTGTCAAGATTCTGCAAATCATTCGAGTCTGATAAGAGAGGTAAGACTGTTAGGTGTTGTGTTAAAATAAATGCCGAAGAGTTCTCTATAAAAACAGCATAAGGAGGTGTTCTACTTCCTCTTATGTTATGGAAAAGTGTATAGGCAGCAGGAATTTGAGTCAGGTCTCGGTTTTTCTTGATGATGTCACTCCTTTCTCAGCTACACTTGAGAACCATGAGGAATGATCGCTGAAGGTCCTCCATAGGATGAAAAGAATTTACTTTAAAGCTGTCGCCAGAGAAATGTCAGTTCTTCAGGACATCTGTCCAATATCTCAGCCATGTTGTATCATCAGAAGGGCTCAAAACAGATCCAGCTGCCCTCACTACCTGGCCAAGACCAGATAACATCAAGTAGCTTAAGTCTTTCCTTGGGTTCACTGGATATTACAGGAGGTTTATAAAAGACTATTCCAGCTTGCAATACCCTTAATCACTTAAGTGCTGGTTGCCTCCACTGAAGAGAAAATCCAGTCTGTCTGGCAGAAACCACAAGGTTTCTACCAGTGCGGATCTCAAAAAGCCTTTTTCACGAAAAATGGACCCCAACCGCTGAAGATACTTTAAGACATTGATTCTCAAGCTCACAACAGCTCCTGTTCTTGGGTTTGCAGATCAAAGAACATTATATTGTGCACACGATGCAAGCGCCCATGTTCTCGGTGCAGCCTATATCAAGAACAGGAGAGCAAGTTAAGAGTCATTGCTGTGCAGTAGGGGTCTCTCCAAGTCCGAGCAAAGGTACCCTGCACACAAGCTTGACTTCCTGTCTGTGAAGTGGGCTGTCACCGAACGTTTTCCGCTGTATCTATGGAGTAAAATGTACAGTGATGACAGACAATAATCCACTCACATACGTTTTAACATCTGCAAAGTTGGACGCAGTAGGGCATTGCTGGTTGGCCGTACTTTCCAGTTTGATTTTGACATTGAGTATAGTGCTGGGAAGGACAACCAGATGCAGATGGGCTGTTGAGACGTCCGTATCTGCATGCCTGTGATATATCTGATCAGAGTTCTAATGATGAGGAAAATGCCATTGAAGGCTTTACTGCACAGCTCTTGCCGCCGCAACAAAGAGCCAGATTTCCAACCGAGGCAGTAAAGGCAGTATGCAAGAGACATGAGTATTCCTCAACTCTTGAGGAGGAGGAGCAGCAGTACATCGTCTGCACGAGTACAATGTTTGGCTATTGAGCCTCTGCAATACCAGCAGATTTCTGTCAAACTGATGTAGCTGGGCCATGCCCCTGCTGCATGTCTCTTTCGATTGGCTACGTGAACAGAAATTAGATCTGGAGAGCTGAGAGAGTCTTGCAGAAAGCTACCAGTTAGCCATTGAGCACATTCAAAAGTGCTTTACGAAACAAACAAAGCTTTGACAGTAAAGTGCGGGAATCCACCTTGCCAAGGGAAATAGAGTTGTTTTGAGGACTTGTTCAGACTCACCCTGTTGAATCAGTCTCAAAAGAGTTAAAAAAGTGAACTCGTCTCCTTCTGCAGTACCAGGTAATACCAGGTATTACCGGATTGCCTGACAGCAGGAGGCGCTGTGGCTTAGCTGTCAAAGTGCCTGTCTAGTAACAGAGATCCTGGGTTCAAATCCCAGCAGTGCTTCTGTTACATTTGAAACCATCTTCTTCACAGTGTTCAGACTCACCCTGTTGAATCAGTCTCAAAAGCTTCTCCTTCACTTATGATGTTTCCACTGAGGTCATGACAAGTGAGGAACAGGAAGTTACTTGTTGGACTATTTGACCATATCTTACATTTATAGTGCACAAAAGTAAAAAAAAGTTGAACTCGTCTCCTTCTGCAGTACCAGGTAATACCAGGTATTACCGGTTTGCTGTCACAGGAGGCGCTGTGGCTCAGCTGGTCAAAGCGCCTGTCTAGTAAACAGGAATCCTGGTTCAAATCCAGCAGTGCCTTCCTGTTACCATTTGAAACCATCTTCTTCACAGTGTTAATTGCATTCTTAATCTTGGAGTTGGAATCTTTCAAAGTCTTGTATGTCCTCAGTTATCCACCTCACGTACTCTGAGGCTTTAAAAACTTCTTTGCACCCGATCCGAGAGCTTCTTCAGTTCTAGAACAAATGCTGGAGGTCCCAGCATTAAACCGCTAGTGGAGCTTCTGAGGTTTTCACCAATATTATGTCTTGGGCATGTCTAAATCTTCATTGTGTCCTCTTCTTGGAAACGAAGGAGACAAGCATAACGCCCAATGCTTCCCGCCATCAGCACTCATTAATGAATGTAATGCATTGGTAGGGAGGTAAGGCACTGCTGGATTTGAACCCAGGATCTCCTGTTTACGAGACAGGGCTTGCCAGCTAAGCCACAGCGCCTTGAGCTGTGTGCCTCTGGCTACTGTCCAACAGCTGGGGGAAAAATGTGACAAACCGATTCAAAACTGGTCTGCAGAGGTTACTTGGTTTTTCCCTTCCCTGAAGGAGCACTGTAGCTTAGCCGGTCAAGCACCTGTCTTGTAAACAGGAGATCCTGGGTTCAAATCCCAGCAGTGCCTGTTGAGCTATTTCAAAATAAGAAATTCTGTGTAGCAACTTTTCCTCAATGTCAAAATAAAGGAATAATCTGTTGAATCTGAAGTTTGGAGGCACTAAAGATTTAGCAAAGGACACCCAGCAGCTGTGCACCACATGCAGATGAAAACATCAAACTGAAAGTCTACTAAACATGAAACTGCGCAACTGTGACAACAGACATAAATGACCAGTATAGAAACTGGGTGAGGCGTATATTGAGCTTTCGTCCAAAGTACTGTCAAGATTGCAATCATTCGAGTTACTGATAAGAGAAGGTAAGACTGTTAGGTGTTGTGTTAAATAAATGCCGAGAGTTCTCTATTAAAAACAGCATAAGGAGTGTTCTACTTCCTCTTATTTATGGAAAGTGTATAGGCAGCAGGAATTTGAGTCAGGTCTCGGTTTTCTTGATGATGTCACTCCTTTCTCAGCTACACTTGAGAACCATGAGAATGATCGCTGAAGGTCCTCCATAGGATGAAAGATTTACTTTAAAGCTGTCGCCAGAGAAATGTCAGTTCTTCAGGACATCTGTCCAATATTCAGCATGTTGTATCATCAGAAGGGCTCAAAACAGATCCAGCTGCCCTCACTACCTGGCCAAGACCAGATAACATCAAGTAGCTAAGTCTTCCTTGGGTTCACTGGATATTACAGGAGGTTTATAAAGACTATTCCAAGCTTGCAATACCCCTTAATCACTTAAGTGCTGGTTGCCTCCCACTGAAGAGAAATCCAGTCTGTCTGGCAGAAACCACAAGGTTTCTACCAGTGCGGATCTCAAAAAGCCTTTTTCACGAAAAATGACCCCAACCGCTGAAGATACTTTTAAGACATTGATTCTCAAGCTCAAACAGCTCCTGTTCTTGGGTTTGCAGATCCAAAGAACATTATATGTGCACACCGATGCAAGCGCCCATGTTCTCGGTGCAGCCCTATATCAAGAACAGGAGAGCAAGTTAAGAGTCATTGCCTGTGCCAGTAGGGGTCTCTCCAAGTCCGAGCAAAGGTACCCTGCACACAAGCTTGACTTCCTGTCTGTGAAGTGGCTGTCACCCAGAACGTTTTCCGCTGTATTATGGAGTAAAATGTACAGTGATGACAGACAATAATCCACTCACATACGTTTTAACATCTGCAAAGTTGGACGCATAGGGCATTGCTGGTTGGCCGTACTTTCCAGTTTTGATTTTGACATTGAGTATAGTGCTGGGAAGGACAACCAAGATGCAGATGGGCTGTTGAGACGTCCGTATCTGCATGCCTGTGATATATCTGATCAGAGTTCTAATGATGAGGAAAATGCCATTGAAGGCTTTACTGCACAGCTCTTGCGCCGCAACAAAGAGCCAGATTTTCCAACCGAGGCAGTAAAGGCAGTATGCAAGAGACATGAGTATTCCTCAACTCTTGGAGGAGGAGGCAGCAGTACCATCGTCTGCACGAGTACAATGTTTGGCTATTGGAGCCTCTGCAATACCAGCAGATTTCTGTCAAACTGATGTAGCTGGGCCATGCCCCCTGCTGCAGATGTCTCTTCCGATTGGCTACGTGAACAGAAATTAGATCTGGAGAGCTGAGAGAGTCTTGCAGAAAGCTACCAGTTAGCCATTGAGCACATTCAAAAGAGTGCTTTACGAAACAAACAAAGCTTTGACAGTAAAGTGCGGGAATCCACCCTTGCCAAGGGAAATAGAGTTGTTTGAGGACTTGTTCAGACTCACCCTGTTGAATCAGTCTCAAAAGAGTTAAAAAAGTGAACTCGTCTCCTTCTGCAGTACCAGGTAATACCAGTATTACCGGATTGCCTGACAGCAGGAGGCGCTGTGGCTTAGCTGGTCAAAGTGCCTGTCTAGTAAACAGGAGATCCTGGGTTCAATCCCAGCAGTGCCTTCCTGTTACCATTTGAAACCATCTTCTTCACAGTGTTCAGACTCACCCTGTTGAATCAGTCTCAAAAGCTTCTCCTTCACCTTATGATGTTTCCACTGAGGTCATTGACGAAGTGAGGAACAGGAAGTTACTTGTTGGACTATTTGACCATATCTTACATTTATAGTGCACAAAAGTAAAAAAAGTTGAACTCGTCTCCTTCTGCAGTACCAGGTAATACCAGGTATTACCGGTTTGCCTGTCAGCAGGAGGCGCTGTGGCTCAGCTGGTCAAAGCGCCTGTCTAGTAAACAGGAGATCCTGGGTTCAAATCCCAGCAGTGCCTTCCTGTTACCATTTGAAACCATCTTCTTCACAGTGTTAATTGCATTCTTAATCTTGGAGTTGGGAAATCTTTCAAAGTCTTTGTATGTCCTCAGTTATCCACCTCACGGTACTCTTGAGAGCTTTAAAAGCTTCTTTGCACCCGATCCGAGAAGCTTCTTCAGTTCTAGAACAAATGCTGGAGGTCCCAGGCATTAAACCGCTAGTGGAGCTTCTGAGGGTTGTTCACCCAATATTGATGTCTTGGGCATGTCTAAATCTTCATTGTGTCCTCTTCTTGGAAACGAAGGAGACAAAGCATAACGCCAATGCTTCCCGCCATCAGCACTCATTAATGAAATGTAATGGCATTGGTAGGGAGGTAAGGCACTGCTGGGATTTGAACCCAGGATCTCCTGTTTACGAGACAGGTGCTTTGGCCAGCTAAGCCACAGCGCCTTGAGTTGTGTGCCTCTGGCTACTGTCCAACAGCTGGTGGGGAAAAATGTGACAAACCGATTCAAAACTGTGTCTGCAGAGGTTACTTGGTTTTTCCCTTCCCTGAAGGAGGCACTGTAGCTTAGCCGGTCAAAGCACCTGTCTTGTAAACAGGAGATCCTGGGTTCAAATCCCAGCAGTGCCTGTTGAGCTATTTCAAAATAAGAAATTCTGTGTAGGCAACTTTTCCTCAATGTCAAAATAAAAGGAAGTAATCTGTTGAATCTGAAGTTTGGAGGCACTAAAGATTTAGCAAAGGACACCCCAGCAGCTGTGCACCACATGCAGATGAAAAACATCAAAACTGAAAGTCTACTAAAACATGAAACTGCGCAACTGTGACAACAGACATAAATGGACCAGTATAGAAACTGGGTGAGGCAGGGTTATATTGAGCTTTCGTCCCAAAAGTACTGTCAAGATTCTGCAAATCATTCGAGTTACTGATAAGAGAAGGTAAGACTGTTAGGTGTTGTGTTAAAATAAATGCCGAAGAGTTCTCTATTAAAAACAGCATAAGGAGGTGTTCTACTTTCCTCTTATGTTATGGAAAAGTGTATAGGCAGCAGGAATTTGAGTCAGGTCTCGGTTTTTCTTGATGATGTCACTCCTTTCTCAGCTACACTTGAGAACCATGAGGAATGATCGCTGAAGGTCCTCCATAGGATGAAAGAATTTACTTTAAAGCTGTCGCCAGAGAAATGTCAGTTCTTCAGGACATCTGTCCAATATCTCAGCCATGTTGTATCATCAGAAGGGCTCAAAACAGATCCAGCTGCCCTCACTACCTGGCCAAGACCAGATAACATCAAGTAGCTTAAGTCTTTCCTTGGGTTCACTGGATATTACAGGAGGTTTATAAAAGACTATTCCAAGCTTGCAATACCCCTTAATCACTTAAGTGCTGGTTGCCTCCCACTGAAGAGAAAATCCAGTCTGTCTGGCAGAAACCACAAGGTTTCTACCAGTGCGGATCTCAAAAAGCCTTTTTCACGAAAAATGGACCCCAACCGCTGAAGATACTTTTAAGACATTGATTCTCAAGCTCACAACAGCTCCTGTTCTTGGGTTTGCAGATCCAAAGAACATTATATTGTGCACACCGATGCAAGCGCCCATGTTCTCGGTGCAGCCCTATATCAAGAACAGGAGAGCAAGTTAAGAGTCATTGCCTGTGCCAGTAGGGGTCTCTCCAAGTCCGAGCAAAGGTACCCTGCACACAAGCTTGACTTCCTGTCTGTGAAGTGGGCTGTCACCCAGAACGTTTTCCGCTGTATCTATGGAGTAAAATGTACAGTGATGACAGACAATAATCCACTCACATACGTTTTAACATCTGCAAAGTTGGACGCAGTAGGGCATTGCTGGTTGGCCGTACTTTCCAGTTTTGATTTTGACATTGAGTATAGTGCTGGGAAGGACAACCAAGATGCAGATGGGCTGTTGAGACGTCCGTATCTGCATGCCTGTGATATATCTGATCAGAGTTCTAATGATGAGGAAAATGCCATTGAAGGCTTTACTGCACAGCTCTTGCGCCGCAACAAAGAGCCAGATTTTCCAACCGAGGCAGTAAAGGCAGTATGCAAGAGACATGAGTATTCCTCAACTCTTGAGGAGGAGGCAGCAGTACCATCGTCTGCACGAGTACAATGTTTGGCTATTGGAGCCTCTGCAATACCAGCAGATTTCTGTCAAACTGATGTAGCTGGGCCATGCCCCCTGCTGCAGATGTCTCTTTCCGATTGGCTACGTGAACAGAAATTAGATCTGGAGAGCTGAGAGAGTCTTGCAGAAAGCTACCAGTTAGCCATTGAGCACATTCAAAAGAGTGCTTTACGAAACAAACAAAGCTTTGACAGTAAAGTGCGGGAATCCACCCTTGCCAAGGGAAATAGAGTTGTTTTGAGGACTTGTTCAGACTCACCCTGTTGAATCAGTCTCAAAAGCTTCTCCTTCACCTTATGATGTTTCCACCGAGGTCATTGAAGAAGTGAGGAACAGGAAGTTACTTGTTGGACTATTTGACCATATCCTACATTGATAGTGCACAAAAGTTAAAAAAGTGAACTCGTCTCCTTCTGCAGTACCAGGTAATACCAGGTATTACCGGATTGCCTGCCAGCAGGAGGCGCTGTGGCTTAGCTGGTCAAAGTGCCTGTCTAGTAAACAGGAGATCCTGGGTTCAAATCCCAGCAGTGCCTTCCTGTTACTATTTGAAACCATCTTCTTCACAGTGTTCAGACTCACCCTGTTGAATCAGTCTCAAAAGCTTCTCCTTCACCTTA